TCTGCCTGTTCCCAAGAGAATGCACTGAATCTGGCGAGATTAATGTCAAGGGCAAAGAACCATAATAACTCTGTGAATAGGCCAAAATAGTTTCTTTATTGTTGTTTGTTTAGTTGTGTCAGAAGCTTCACAATCAAAATAAGGCATACTATATGACATACAATTTAAAATATAAAATACAAGATTAAAATATATACAAATTAAACAGATCTTGCCAAGAAACTAGCAACATTAATTGTGTTGCATCGCATTGCACTGATCAGGACACAAAGGGCAGATACACGTGTGTGTTGTTGTCTGTATGTCACCACAATCGCAAAGAGCAGAAGCCACTGGATCGCCCCATTTGTCTCTGGGTCTTGCACCTGTGCACAAACTATTCAGTTATTCCCATACTTCCCAGCTTTCATTAGATCCGGGTGCCAGCCCCTCTGTTGCTTTCATCCAGTGTTGGTTCTTCATAGCTTTCCATAGGTCCACTCTATAACTTTCATGTCAAAAGGACATGAACGGAGCCTTCCCAAAGAATGTGCTGTTAACACATTTGGGCGTCCCCCTGGACAACAGCTTATAGTTGGCTAATCCTTTCGATCCAGAAGCATCCAAAGCGTACTGATGTGTTCATTCACCTGTTTCGTTATTGTTGAACATATATTTACAACAATCTTGCCAGACTCACTGCATACCCTTGAGAAAGGCTTTAATTGTTTGGTCTTTGCCGCTTCCTCCCATGGAGCAACTTCAAGCTAGACTGCCTCTTTACTCTAGCTGATGATTTCACCATCGCATTAATCCAACATAGGTAAAAGAGAATTTTTAAAGTGAGAGAATTTATTTTCAGAATGATGTGTTTTAAGTCCTTGACATCTCAGGGGTGTTTAAGTTTCCTATTTAAATTAATGGGACGGCATGTTTAATTAGCTGGTATCTTGGCAGGCAATCAGGTTATATTTTTATTACTAAAACACATTATTTTCCTAGATATTTTAAAAATTTAAGTATCATAGTAATTGATTCTGCCTTTTTCTATAGAAAAAAATGGGACTGCTTTCTTGATAATGGGAGATATATCTTTAGTATTTTGAGTAAGAGATAGATACAGTTAGCATATCAGGATGATAGTTGAGGCTATGCCCAAGCTAACCCACTCCACTTAACTCATCAGTTTATACATACTATATTTTTATGGTAATGTTATTTTTAAATTGCTAATTTAAAATATTGAGTTTGGTATTGGCATGTGATGAATAACTATGTCTGTGAGGCAATAGCCCTCTGCTTTTGATTATGGTTAAAGACTAAAGAGCAAACAAATGTGCTGGACATTTTCTAATAAACCAATTTCAGTTTTACAATGAATCGTTTTGGCTCCATTTTGGTTTGTTTTCTCTACTTCACGGGAAATGCAGAAATGTAATGGCTTTAATTCTAAATTGCTTCTACACCTCACCCTGGCCTTCTATAATGCTCTTCATCTCAATCTTCTCCAAGTTGCCTTTCTTACTTTCCTTTTCCCCATATATTAAATTGCTTCATTGCATCTGCAGGTGGTCTTAGACACTCCTTTGACTGGCAGAAATCAGGAATGAATTAAGATGGTATGAAATACGTAGCTGTAATTACTTTTACATATGTTCTACTAAATGACTTGGGGTTTAATATTAACTGAAAAAGTTAAGTTCAAGGTGGCCATGGTTTTTTTTTCTGTCATAAAACATGAGATTTAAAAACTTATTCTTCTGGTATTCTAAATATTTTATTTGTGGAGGAGTAAAAGACAGAATGGCTGGACCAGGCAGAAATTTATTTCTCGTCACATGGAAACTGTATGTGGTCTCAGTTTGAGATAATTAGAAAAAAAGAAAGAGGGCAACACTGCCTTTATATTCCATTATGTGTGAAACATAATGCATTTCCCCGGCTTTTTAAAGAATGAATTTCTATAATAATTCTATGTGGCTAAGGGAAAGGGAAGAACGTCAACTTCGATCTTTGCAGATGGTGCACCATCTGGTAAACATGTTTCAATAGAACAGTTGTATTTAAAGATTTTTGTAGCAAGGCTTTTTCTATCTAATGTGAACAGTTCACATAGCTAGCCTTCATATGCGTTAATAAAAACCATTATTTAATTTGCTTGTGGAAATGCAACTTTTGAATAGACCTGGAACAGATGTATTTGGTGATGATGCATAAGTCAGATGTAATTATATCAGCCTTGTAAATAAACCAACACCCTATTGGGCTTCAAGAAACAAAAATTGAGAGTTTGCTAAGCCCTTGGTCACCTACATTTCCCTGCTGTCCATGAATTAGGGACAGGCTTTCTACCTCCATCGCAAATATAGTGTGATAGTTTTCTATTAGGGGATAAGTAGATGGATGGGCGTGTGCATGTGTGTGTGTGTGTGTGTAAACAATTCCTTTCTCACCCATATGGGTAATGTAGGTCTTTCTCACTCTTGGGTGCGCTCTGCAGTTTGAGGGTTCTGCACATTATCTTAGCTGTCCTTAGCACTGCACTCTTTTGGACAGAGAGCTCTGCTGTTGTTCCTGGGATCTGTTGGAGTCACTTTGCTAGCTTAGAAGACACAGCCTCAAGTGCCCCTACCACAACTGGGACCAATTCGGCTTTACTTTCCACATCCTCTCTAGTTCCTCCTGAGGCGTTTCCAGTTTCTCGTACCCATTCCCGATGTTGCTGTCACTTGGCACCACTATACATTTAACATCTATCTCAACATGTATGTATAGATATGTGTATATACTATACACACATATACATATGTACATACACAAACATTTGTGTTTGTGTATGTGTGTATAATATATACATACTATTTGTGTGTATAATACTGTGTGTGTGTGTGTGTTGAGATACATATGGTGCGTGTGTGTATGTGTATTTGATATTGGAATGTTGGTTGCTAAGTAATGCACTCATTAAACTATGACATCACTGTACCCAATTCTATTACCATTTTACCACAGTTGTTAAGTGAAATTATGCAAGACAAACTGGTTTCCCTAATTGACTTGGCTTGTCAGAAGCCATCTGAGAAAGTTGCAAATTGTGATACTCTCATGGCAAGACATTGCAATTGTAAATGCAAGCTGGTTGCCACCACCACCACCCCAGTTATAATCCCATGGCCGTCTATCAAGTTGGCAAGTAGAAGTGTCAATCTTTGCATTTTTAGGATGACCAAAGAAAAATGGGATTTATTTCTTGACAAACAGAAACCAAGTGGGTGGCTGGTCTGATCTTAAATTTCTCTGTATTTCTAATCATCTATGATTATCGAATGGATATTTAAATATCAGATCAACCTATTTCAAATTTAAATAGCAAGCTCAGACATCACATCTGGATGCCATAAGAATTCTCCAAATAATATGACCTTAAGTATTGGTAATTAAGAAGGTGCACTACCAATTAGTAGCAGTTATGGAAGTTTACCTATCTAATGTAAGTTTTGAATAGCAATAGATTTAGACTTACATATTGTTTCACAGTGCTTTGCAGCCATCTCTAAGCGGTTTTACAGAGTCAGCATATTACCCCCAACATTCTGGGTCCCCCCAGAATGAATAGATGACCCTCTTTTTTTCAGGAAACTCAGAATCAATCAATACTTTGATATTGATTTGAAAACTTTTGCATAAATTATGATTTGGTAAGATGTCTGAAGTGAATACCTGATTTGCAAATGAAATTCAATAGTAAAAAAACGATGTCCAAGAGAAATGAAAGTGGTGAAAGATGAAAAATGGAGTCAGATAAGCATTGGTTGGCTTCTGAAACTGAAAGTTCAAATATTGGTTTTAATATTGAATGCTGGTTGGAATAAGCTGCTTGTGTCTGAATTAACTTGAATTGTCTCGAGGCAAATTTGAAAAATTATTTGGAAAATTTGAAAGGTGATTTTGAACTTTTGACTGGTGTAATGCCTGAATTTACCTGAATTGCATCACACAGAATTGGAAAACTGATTCTTATATTGATATCATCTGATCAAAATTGAGCATTTTAAATTCCTATTATTTTCTATGAAACAAATCTGAAATATTCGACATCAGACTTATCTTAAGTCTCCACTAGACTAATGAAATACTGTAGCTGATTTTAATCCATCATTTAGTATTTTAAAATGAAGGGTAACTCATGCACTCTGACTTGAACCACTTAGAGCAGAGGTGTCAAACTCACGGCCCATGGGCCAGATGCATCACGTGCTGGCCTCGCTCCCACCTGGTTTAGCAAAGGGAGGGGAAGTCCAGAGGTGGTATTCAGCAGGTTCTGATCAGTTCTAGAGAACCGGTAGTGGAAATTTTGAGAAGTTCAGAAAACCAGCAAATACCACCTCTGACCGGAGATTTTACAGTATCCTTCCCCTGCCACACCCGCCAAGCCAAGCCATGCCATAGAACCGGTAGTTTAAAAAAAACCTGAATCCCACCACTGGAAAAGTTGCAATATGTCTCATGACGCTGCCGTGACGATGTGAGTTTGACACGCGTGACTTAGAGGAAGATAAATATAATAAAACAAAAACTTTAAAAAGTACATATTGGTGTTGATTTCAATGGAAGAAATGTCAAGGTCCTATCAAAAAGTAAATGGCTCCTTATACCATTACAAAATCTGAACTTTACTCCAGGGATTACTTGATTTTCATCATGGCTACACTGGACCTGGTATATAGGCTTCCCCCCACTGTTCCTCTGGGGCATTCAGAAAGATAAAGGAAATTTTTAGAAACGTTATCAACTAAATGGAAAGGTTTCTGGTGAATCTGTCAATATCTCCCATAAGTACAAGTATAGGCAGTAACAGAATTTCCCCTTTACAATGCAATGTATGGCAAATAGAGAACCTGTCTGATCTATGAAGAAGAACCAATAAGGGTAGGTACATTTTTATATGATGATTTTTCCAAAACCTGGAGACAAAATTTAAGAAGTATAGTACATAATCAATTTTGGTGTATTGTTTTCAGGGGAGAAGCGTGCATACTTGTCACTACCCAAACCAGGGGTAAGTTCAATTTTTGTGGGCCTGATGATTTCTTTATACTTTTCATCAATTAATTGTTCGCTCCACATATTCACATTTGTTTAACAAGCCACCCTGGCCTTGTTTATATAAGACTGTAAGGAGAGTTTGTATATCACACTAAGTTAAAGGTAAATCACGTAACAACATAGCATTGCAGGCGATGTAAAGTTGTCAAAGACTAATCTTTCTAGAACACTAATGTTAAGTCTGAATTCTGCAAGAGTCGCTAAATTTCTGCAATAACTGCAGAATGCTGCAGTATCTTTTCTTTTCCATATTAAGAGTTGCATAAGAGTGCTAGGGGAAATGTTTGAATTCTGTATTTATGTTAGAAACATAGAGTTGGAAGGTGACAAGATGATCAAAGTAGGAAATTCACACTACAGTTGCCATCCAGTATTTTATTTCCAATCTGTTTCATCCCTCAAAACTTCTTCCTTTATTCTTTATTGTAATGTCAACACTCTGCAACAATGGCAAATAATATATGATCTATTTCCCAGCTTTAAAGAAACACCCATCTTACTGCCTAATGGCTATTGTAATTATTATATCACATAGGTTTTTGATCAAGATTAAAAAAAACCTTTTCCAATTACTTTGTATAGTAGCTTTTGATACAAAAAATGTTTAGCTTTGTACATTTTTGTACTGAGATCTCAGCTCTCTTGTTAGAAAATGCCTGGATCATTTGAAATCTGTTTTTAATAACTTAGGTTTTATTACTGTTATAAATAAGGCTATATAAATTCCAAAAATGATTTGACAAAAGTGGACCTGCATGAGCACAGTGTTTTTCTATTGAAATGACTTTGAAAGCATCCAGATCAGTGTTGCCCAGCCCTAGGAACTTTGAAAGTGTGGATTTCAACTCCCAGAATTCTCCAGCCAGCCATATGTCAGAAGTCCCCAAACTTGGCAACTTTAAGACTTGTGGACTTCAACTGGTTGGAGAATTCTGGGAGTTGAAGTCCACAAGTCTGAAAGTTGCCAAGTTTGGAGACCTCTGTTCGATGTTCTGCTTACACGCTTTAATCAAAATCTACTCTTGTGGTTTTCTCCTACCCATATCAATGGTAGCATACCTATTTGTATGGCATTCATCCATTGCATGTGGAAAGTATCACTGCCCGTTTCCTAGGCACAACAGTAGTTGTACAGAGTTCTGGTCAGAATGTCCTTATGGTGGGAAAGTCTCCAGCCCATTTCCTAGGGCTGGAGTTTTCCCCATCATATTCTGACTACAAATCTGTACAACCACTGCCTAAATAGTATTGCAGTTCTGTTCCTAACACCTTTAAAAATTGTACTTACTGTATTTTATAATAGGATACATTTAAAATAACCTGAGATTTTAAGGGAAGATAATGCTAATTACAGCACTGATCTATATGATGATGTTGATGTTGTTTGTATAAGGCTGTTTCATATATTTTGAAGGTTTAACACAGGCAACGGGTATGTCGTGTAATTACAATAGTAATGTAACTCTTGACTACATAATTTTAAAATAGAAATAAGCTCATTTAAGCAAAACAGTTGCTTTATTCTAATACTGGGTTCAGTTATCTAGAATCTAGAACCAGAAGGTTGGGCTTATTTCAGAATCAGCCCTCTTAGAAATCTATTTTCTCTAGCTTACTATTCTTGACTACAGCTCCTAGTAAATATGTTTAATTTAGATTTATTAAAAAAATTAAAATCAAATTCTGTTCTTTAAAAATATTTTTACAGAAGCATAATGCAAACTTAAAAGCCTTAAAGCCAGCCAGACTTGATAATGAGGTAAAATGTTGTTTTATTCATTAGCACCAATTTATTCTAGTAATTAGTCTGAATTACATAATGAACAAAAATTATATATTTTCTCTTTTCCTTTGCAGGAGCAAACAAAATTTGGAAAATCAGGTTTAGAACTTCATAAGCTAACAACGCGGGTTGATTCTGAAATGGAGAAATGGGAAGACCCAGAAAATGAGATTATAAGATATGGACAAGGTCTATCCAGTATGGCTTACTCCATGTATTTATTTACAAGGTAATAACAAGAGTAGCAGAAGGGGAAGCGTTAACAATGAGAGGGCAGAATAGCTTGCAGAAATGGCTTTGAATTAATAGTTTGTAGAAATGGCCTTGAATCTTTTCCTCCCTATATCAAATCTAGATGATATTGTTTAGAAAGCTAGAATTTCTGAATTACAGTAAAATCCAGATACTACTCAAACAAGTAATGTAAACCCAAAAATGGGAACTGTTTCATTCTCTGGGATACATATGTGCATATGTGTCATTCACATACATACACATAACAAGTGGATAATGTATATAACAACTTTATATTTCAGATGCGTTGGCTTTAGTTAATGGGGAGGGATTTGGAAAATGTTGTTGCAAGATTTTGCTAATCCTACATAGGGTTATTTAAAAAAAAAACTTACATTTTACAAGACTATGATATGAGCACAGATTTATATATTCTACTACATTTTACTTAACTGTTAGGATTTGAAAAAAATAAACTATTTTGAGTCTTTATTAGAGTACAAAAGTGCAAATAAATAATAATCTGCTTTATATCTTAAAATTCTGCTGCCCATTTATACATTTTGGAGCATTTTCTATCATATTAGTACTAGGTCTTAACTTATGCATTAGCATGGGTTCCTTAATTTCTCATTTTTTAACTTTCTTATCAAAAGCAGGGGAGGGGGAGGATCCATATATGTATTATTGTACAAAATACTAGTCTGGTATCAAGAATTTCTTGTTTCACTTCTGTAGAGATCCATACATTTATGAACATATATATTTTTATTTAGAATTTTAATAACAATAGTAAAAACTAATACAAATTAAATTTTGAGAAAGATGAAAATGGAAAGAATAAAATGCCAGAAAAAGAAGAAAAAGGAAAGAGAATATAATAAAGAAATATATAAATGACATCTAACCTTCATCACAAGTATAAACAAAGTTAGTAATTCTTCGTGCTTATAACGTTAAATGGATTATCTGTTCATCCCATTTCTCATCCCTTTTCTATAAGAACATCCATAAAACATCAACATGGTGTCACAAAAAGTCCATCAAGGATTGCCAGAAAATTGCAAAATAATAATAATTTATTAGTTGATCAAATAAACTAAAGTTATATCTCTTTCTATAACGGCCTTAATATTTAATTCAATCAAATATTGTCCTAGGATTTATCCTTTTTAGCCACCCACACAGATTTCTTTAACAAGTATCTTGTGTAGTTTCCATAAGAAAACATTTTCCAGGTTATTCTGTTTATAATTCATATTCAGATATTTCAAATTTTAAAACTTCAGCCAGTTCCTTTTGTGTATCCAGTTAAATATCTTTTATATATCCAGTTTCATCTCAGTAGAATAATTTCTTTTCTTTTCTGCTCTTCTACTTCCTGAGTTTCCCAAAATCATAGTGACATAGTTGTAAATTATTTGTAGATTGTTGTGGAATTTTATTCTTTTTCTTTCTCTTTTAGAGGGGAAGGACTGCTGAAAATTACCCAAGACTTATTCCACCAGGCAGAGGTAATAAAGCAATGAAAAGAGAATTTATAATCCTACTTTGAAGTTGCTAATTATTTTTTTTCTGTGAATATTCTCTCTTCTCAATCAATTGAAATAAAATAAATTCTAGTTATGTTGTGCAGCCAGCCGATTACCTTGTATAGGTATTTGATTTTGTGAGGAAACGGTGGACCTATTGCTATATTTTTTCAGCTATCTGTCATTGATTTATTCTTGACTGTATTCTTGTTTGCAAACTAAGGTTATAAAAGGGTAAAGCTATGAATTTCTTGAGACTGAACTATCTAACCCAACATAAAAAGCAACACCTGTTTATGTAAACTGTATGAAGCAATCCAGTTCATCGATAGCCACTTTTTCTTTTTCTTGCTCGGAAATGGAAAAAAGAAGGGAGTTTTGTCAACTACATTTATTCTGAATTTGACTAATCGGATTACAAATTGGATGTGCGCACATTTGGAGAATAGAGGTTTTGTCTTTTTCCCTTAGTCATTTTGCATTTAACTCTCTATCCTTTTCCCTCTTAGGCCTTTGCTACAGAAGGATTAAAACTTACTTCAGCTCTCCATATATTTTCCTATCAGGTATAGTACAGTATCTGAATCTTAAGGACAGTTACTTTTTAAAAGTCTTTTTTAAGTCTTTGACTTACAACAATACATTAGTGATCGTTCGAAGTTACAGTGGCACTGAAAAAAGTAACTTATGACCATTTTTCACACTTATGACTGTTGCTCTGTCCCGATGGTCATGTGATTTACATTCAGATGCTTGACAACTGATTCATATGGATGACACTTGCAGTGTCCCAGGGTCATGTCCCTTTTGAAACCTTCTGGTAAGCAAAGTCAATGGGAAAGTCAGATTCACTTAACCCTATTACTAACTTAACAACTGCAGTGACTCGTTTAACAAATGTGGCAAGAAAAGTGATAAAATGAGGCAAAACTCACCTAACAAATTTCTCACTTGGCAACATAAATTCTGGGCTCAACTATGGTCAAGGACTACCTATACCTTAATACAATAGCAGCTATCTGTGCTATTCATTTTTTCCATAATACTTGTTATTATACATACATTTGTATGTATTTGGTGGCTTACATTTCATATATTTGATTGATTGCTGTCACCAGGGTTTATTAGGTTTTGTATTTGTTTTTATTTTTCTAAGCTGGAATCAGTGTGAGTTGGTGGCCATACCCATTTTAAGAATAAAATAAATTAAAAAATAAATCATGTTTAGCATGCCTAAGTAACATCTGTTTCAGCTTGAAGATGACGACAAACCACTGCTTCTGCAGGAGATTGAGAGGATGGTCTCTGCATGTCAGCAACTTCAGGTCACAGCCAAAGCCCCCGCGCAGGGTAAAACTGCAACTTATCTAAAAGTAAGCTAGTTATTATTTTTTTTAAAGTCATTCCCTATAAACTTTGTTTTCCTATCTTATTTTGTAGATAATGAAATATTTTAACTGTGTGTTAAATCTTGAACAGAATACATGGATGATACATGGTAGTGCTCAGTTGCTAAATTAAGGAGACCTTGAGTTAGTTGGAATGGATGAGATGCAGTTGTGTTTTGATGCTTGAAGCACAGATCAAAATAAAATATAAGCTAATAGGGCAACCCATTAGAAACACATTTAGTTTATCATAGTGTCCTATTTGGGCTATAGGTACTTTTGAATTAACTGACAATGAGCACACCAGTATAGGTTACCAAAGCTTTATTCCATAGCAAAACAGTAGAATAGAAAAAATGTAATACTTACATCTAAGAGAAACAATACAAGTACTAGCACTATACATAATTTATAGGTTTATAGGATGTGTAGTTTGACATATGTGTAATATCCCACTATCACTCCTTATGTCTTACAATAGATGGGTCTATCCATCAATTTAGTATTTGGCTTCTTCATACTTAAATGTATCTCATACTTAAATGAGATACTTAAATGTATGATTCTTCTTACTGTAATCCTCCACCTCCAAGGCGTGTATGTGATGTCCCCCTATCTAAAAGACTGGTTTATAATTCAGATTTCCTATGCCAAGCACATACATAGTTCAAGCATTTCTAGTCCTATAGCATCTGGGCCTATAAGTCAGGTACATGAAGTGTTCTTTACTTGTCTTGCAGGTTACCCAAATTCAAACTGTATAAAAATACTCATTTCCATGATCACATGCAAAAGATCTTATAATGGAATTCTCTTGAATTCTTTGCAAATAGGAATGAGAGTTTGAAAAATACAGCAGGATTGAAATAGCTGTACATTCCTTCAGCAAATGGCATATCTCCCATATGTTTGGAAGAAGTCCTTCCATTCTACTTTCCCAGGCACATATAAAAAAATATCTTCTCCGTTCTGTTCTATATAAAAAGGAAACCCCCCTGCATTATGATTTCAGGCTATATCACTACTTTCTTTCCTCCTAGGTATCTATATGCCCAGATACAGAGCTTGTTTCTAAGTTCTCTTTCTGGGTGCAAAGCATCTGTTGGCCTTGCCGGGTTAACCAGATAGTAATCACAACCAGATGAGCTAATTCCACTTTATTGTAAGGCTGTATTAACACAATCTTGAAAGTCTGAAAGTACAATTCTTGTTTTCTTTACATCCCAAAAAATTAAGGAATGTATTTTCTGAGCCTCTTGCTCCTACCCACTATTGCGCTGCAAGCTGTGGTGTCCTTTATTTGTCCATTCCTTTGTCAGTGTCTCCCTTGCCCAGTCTCCCAAGATCTTTTCCCACCTGCGATTACATCAAGTGAATTTGAAAGGTACAGTAAGCCTTCCAAAGCAGTCTTTGTGGCCAGATTGTTAAGGTTATATTGGATAATTCTTTGGCAGTTCAGTACAAACAAAATAACGCTGTCTTCCCCTCTTTGCTTACTTTGTGATTTGGCATTGAGTTATCTATCTTTTCTTCATTCTGGCAATTCTTAAAACAACACTGCCTTTTTATGAAAAGGGTATTAAATTACTGTTTTTGTACTTTACCTAAAATACTGTTTGGTGCAATACATCCATAGCACTAGCTACTTCAGTTATATTATTAAACTCCTTCCACGGAAGCTAGTATATTTCTTGCTTCACAGTTATAATTACATTTTTAAAATGTTTTCTCAAGCTGAATTGTGAAATTATTTTTGCTTCAATGCACTGACTTTAGGTGGATACCTGTATTCAGAAAGCGAAGTATATTTTGGATATACTTTCCCAAGTTCTGCCACTTAGCTTCAGGTTACATAGACAGGTGAGTTAATGATATGTCCAAATATGGCAAAACAAACCATTTCTGGGTAGGATGCCACTTCTATTTTTATTAATTGCTTCTTGTTTTACAGCACAAAGCAGGAAATGGGTATCTAATGGCCCACTGTTCTTGGAATGGCCAGCATGCAGCATCAAGAGAAAACAGTGGTCTGGCTGGGAGGACTAACACTTTTGGAATCAAATCCTTGGAACAACATGTAGCAAGCCTCACTGTATTGGAGAATAAATGAATTGAAGATGGACAAATTTCTATGTTGGATTTGTACTTTTAAATTTCTCCTAATTGCTTTCTTTTGAGAAAGGTAAAATCGGGTTAGAAAAAGCTGATGTAATCTTTTCACATCTAATAGATGTCATGGTACTTAGCAATTAGCAAAAGGAACAGTCAGATTTAATGGCTGCATATTTTTGTATGGTGAATAACTTTTGGTTCACTATTAATACTGCTATTTTTGTAATCACGTACATTATGAATGTCTTACTCTTCAAACCCCAAAGATGCTGCTTTGAATGTTCACGCAGATGATCTGGATAATATCAGATAAGCTACATGGAAAACTACTGGTGGTGGTTGCTGCTGCTGTCCTTTATTTGTTTAACAGCCCTCACTAATGTGATCCTTGCCAATTTTATTTGCTGGGGAAGTCCGTTTTGAAAAAAGCTTAACTGGCTGAGTAGCTGCTCAGTCTTTGCCTCTTAAAGTGACTTGCCAAGAAATTATGTTGCCATAGATAACTACATTTGTCTCCAGGTGGGCAAGGAAGGTGAGGAAGAGTACTAAGAGAGACGCTGTCCAAGAAATCCACGTTGCTGCTACTGGATACATAAGTTACAATAAAACTTTAATTATGATAATTTTATTTTCATTTTTAAACAGTTTTAGCAATATTTAAAATTAAAGATCAGTAACAGCATTAATAAAATCCACTATATTGAAAAGCTTGCTTTTATCTTATTCCCTTTTATCTATATTTTTATATACAATCTTTATAGCACTATCTAAAGAATCTTTTCAGAAATAGTTCTTCTATAACCAGTCAGACCTAATTCCCTAATAAATGTGATTGTATTTACAGCCTTAAACATGAAAGCTTGAGCTTTCATTTTTAGCATGTTACAGGAAAGCTTAAGACTGATCATTCAAAAAAGTTTTAGCTATTAAAAATACTTACTTCAAAGAGGGCATTACCTACTTTGCCAGTTCTTTTCCAAGCTTGCTTGAGATCTGTATATTTTAATGGTTTTATGTTTCAGATTGTAATGTTATAATTGAAGAACTCCTTGCCGGTCTTAAGTACTATAAACTGAGTATGTTTGAAAATTATATAACTAATAAATTACTCCTGTGTCCTTTACATTTTGCTAAGAAGACAACTTGAAGTCACAAGCTAATACATGATTCTCAATCATATTTGACTGTATCATGCAATGCAGGGATTGGGAGGCAGAAAAAGATAAGCAAGCATTTCTAACCTCCTTACCTCTTTTTTTCTTCTGTAACCCCAGTCCCATTCTCCACTTCTGTCTGGTATTTATATTAATGTTGCAATTGTTAAACATATTCTTAATATTTGGTCCTATAAAACCTTGAACCTTCACTCTGCAAACCTCTGCAACACAAGTTAATGACTGATGTATCAACTAGTTAATTTATAGGTTCAGTGTTGCTGCTCAGCCATCTTAAGGCACCGTGTGTCGGCTTCATCACTAAAATCCTCAAAGAAACAAAATAATAAAAAGTATTGATTGCTGGATTTACATTTTCAGATTGGGTTTTGGTTAATAAAGTAGAAAGTGAGTATAACGTACAGATGAAATTAAGCAAACAAAGGCTTTTATTGATATAAAGAACAATACAATATTTTGGCACTACATCCTTAAATCCAATAGTAAAGTTACAGATTAACATTTGGAAGATCTTAAACATTGACTTTGTTGTCTGAAAATGAACAATTAAGGTTATAATCACCCAAAAGTAAAGCATGAAAATCCATAAGGTCACTTTAATATGGGATATACTGGAAGATGCCTAATGTATTTCATACTTCTGCTGAGTTCTCTTTCTTTGTATTGCATAATGATGTGGAATTAAAACGTTTTGACAGAAATTCTTCATATTCTTCCCTTGTCAGAAGCCCCTGAGTTACTTTTTTGCTTTCTTCAAATTTTGGTAACACAACTGCAATATAACCCTCTGTGGAAGGCTAAGAAAATGAACACAAAAATATTTGTAAGAAAATTAAAGGAGGGGGCAGAAGGAAAAGAGAACAAATAACAAGTTTGAAATCCTGACCTTTTCTTGTAGAAGAGATGGATTCTCCAGAATGTTTTCATTCACTTCTATTAATTTTCCTCTTATACAGCTGCAAATAAGTTTAATTTTATTAAGTTCTAGAACAGTATGAGTAACACAATATAAATAACAGCTTACCAGCTTACCTATAGATGGTATACTCTTCTCCATCTAAGCAGAGAATTCGACATAGAGGAGCAAGTTCTGTTAGAAATTGAGCACCCTGGAGGGAAAAGCATACAACTAATTAGGATTCTTGGAAAACTAACAATCAGAGGCTGAGCATGTACAACACCGATACAATTTAACATTTGAAACAATGTTTACCATAGTTACAGTATACAACATGGCTCCTTTAATTTGGGAGAACTGATCATGTACTGAAATCCTATATTAAAACCCTGTCTTTTATGAAATCCAGAAGGCTTTATAACATGTTACTAATTTTCCATATTTATAAAGTTACCCAATGTCTTGATGATTCTGAGTAGCATACAAATTTAAAAATAAATAGAATAACACCAGGATAAGATGGTCATTCTGGTGGAACAGACAAATCCTGTCACATAATTCCATCTTGGCCCAAATCTTGGGGAAACAGCAAGGTCTTCAAGGCTTGTTGAATGAAGAACAGAGCTGGTACATTTAAATTTTTGGGTGGCGGGGAGCTTTTGTATTATAGATTGCAAACTCCAAATATAATTTAGAAGCTCATGCAAAAACTACAGAAGGGTATTTGAGAGTTTACATTTCCATGTGTTATAAATGAAATTGCTGAAATCTCATATAATTCCAGCTGCTTATTAATCTTTGCCAAGGGAAGATTCCCAATATCTGGAATCATAATCAACTACTGCCTTAGGCATCATATTGTTTCTCAGCAAAACTTGCTTCACAATACATATAATCTATCCTAGTATTTCTGATCCAGCTACCCCAAACAATGAAAAGACCAATATCAGACGTGACCAATTAATTCTACTGATTTCAATAACTTTATGTGAGAAGATACTAATGAGAATATGCTGTCAAGCTATTTTCACTTAAGTGCTAACTACATTAGGTCTAGTGTAGAGAACAGCATCAACTGAATATTGGGAGAGCAAAAATCCAGATCACCATTCAATGGCATCTTTCTGTATTTTGCTGTGTAGTGGTGGTGTCAATTTCAACAGCCCAAATTTATACTTACTCCCAAGCAGTCAACTTACATGAGTATGAGTGGACATGCCAAAAAGTGGCCATCCTCTCATTGATCTGCTTTTCTTTGAGACTGCTCCCATCTTTAAAATCGGTCTGCTGATGAAGTGTTTTGCCAACAAGGGCATACTGATAAGAATTAAGGAACAATTTGAATCTTGGGATATATAATCAATCTTGATACTACAATTCTTTGAGCTAGCCTAGTAGATTAAAAAAAAATCTAGATTCAAAATGAAATGGATCTGTGGTTATAATGAAAATTAAAAGAGCCGTACCCGTTTAGACTTTCCAGAAACTTTATTTTGCAGCCTGTTGCAGTTTGCACTAATCTGATAATTAATACTCTTAATTGGTTTTTCTTTTTGAAGGAGAGGATGGGCATCTGCTATAGTGATGACACAGATTCTACAAAACAAGAAGTTCTGTTTATTCAAAGCATATTTTTTCAAAACAAGACTTCACAGAAGCACTTGCACAATATAATTTAAAAATTAATTTTAAAATGAGAATAAAATAATAAGACAAAAATGCAAAGCATAAAATTGAAGCATAGAGGGCAGAAAGAATGGAAGGACACATGAGTGTAATCAATATTATAATTTATAATTTATTTTAAGAAAACTAGTGTTTTGCTTCAATTAAAGGAAAAAAGCCATTGGTGAAGGTAACATTGCTATAATTAGATTAACTGAGCTGTTGTTTAGATGTGCATTTGATTTATGCTTGCCAATCTCAATCCAGCATGGCTGCATAGTTGTGGAAATCAACTGCAAAAGATCTTTTAATTGCATTAGTTAGTATATAGAAGGAAACAGAAAAAGATCAACTAAACAAGGACAAAATACCAGTACCTTTAGTTAGCATGTCTCTACATGATAAATCATAACATAACTACTTGGTGGCAGGCCAAAATAGAGGATATAGCACAAGATAGGGATCAAAAATGGTGGAAGTAAATTGGTAGAATATTCTGCCAGATCAAAATAGAAGATTAGCATTCTGGAGTGGTGAAAAGCTCTCAGGCTTTACCCACTGCCTTTTGAAAGTGGTCCCTTTAAAACTAGGTCTGATACCTGGCTTGTAAAACATACTAGGTTCTCTTGAATGATAATTGGACACAGAAGCATTTTAGTGTAAATAAGCATGCAACTTAAAGTCTTACCTATTAGAATGTTGCAATATGCAATGATCTTCACACTGATTACCTTTTACATCTAGGAAAAGAAAGTTAGCAGTTACTTCTGTGCAGGATTCAGGCTGACTGAACAAAATGCTCCAAAAAGTGTTGTAGCCTTTTAATAGCTAACAAACTTAATTTTAGCAGAGGTTTGTGTAAATCAGAAGTTATTTAGTTTAAATAACTAAAATGCTAAATCGGCTGGCAAATAAATGCATGTAGCTGAGAAGGAGGAAAAAGTTACCTATAAAGAGCAGAGCAGAATAAAATGCAAGACTATAATTGGGACCAGTAACTCAAATTATTAAGCAGTGTGGTTGACAAGTGAAACCTTGACTGCTTGTGGGCTTATTTCAGCTTTCTGTTGCTTTACAGCAGAGGTTTCCAAACTTGGCAAATTTAAGACTTGTGGACTTCAACTCCCAGAATTCTCCAGCCAGCATAGCTGGGAGCAATTCTGGGAGTTGAAGTCCACAAGACTTAAAGTTGCCAAGTTTGGGGACCCCTGTTTAAGAGGGTTGACTTCAGCTCCCAGAATTCCTCAGCCAACTCTGCTCTGTTTTCATCCCCATAACAACCCACGCAAGGGGAAAAGCCGGAAGATTGGGTGGAAATCCCTGATGCTGCAAAAAGCGTTTCTTCTTTTTTTTTTAAGGCGCAGTAGATCACTTTCCCAGCTCTTCTCCGAACCGAAGAGGGGAGGCGAGCGAGGGTCAGGGATGAAACTACCTGGTTTGTACCAGCGGGTGAAATACCGTTCCGTCACGCCGGGCATCGTTGCCATGGAAGCCCGGGCCTCCGAAGCCCCCGACGCCATGATTCTAAGCGTGGGCGGGACGAAAGAGCCGCGCTTGCGCTTGAGCTTCCTCGGCGCGGCCTAAACAAAGCTCGGGGCAAACCAAGTATTCGCCGTAGAGCTGTACAACTAATAGAGATGAACGCTGATTTTATGGCAGGAATTTCCGAGCTCCATTGAGAAAGCTAGTTTAAATTTTATTTGGGGTCATAGTAAGATTTGACCATAGAAGTCAAGGAAGAAACTCGACTGATAAAGGAGAATATTTGTAGCTCAGGGTTGAAAGTGACTAGCACTGAAGATGTTAGCTAGTTAGGGCAAGGGTCTTCAAACTTGGCAAGTTTAAGACTTGTGGACTTCAACTCCCAGAATTCTTGAGCTAACATAACTGGAGGAGGAATTCTGGGAGTTGAAGTCCACAAATCTTAAAGCTGTCAAGTTTGAAGACCCCTGAGTTAAGGTAATGAAACGTCTGCAAGAAAACAAATAAGCTCAGAGAGCATCAAGGACCCCTTAAGGACCTCACCAAGGACTAGATTTATTATTATTGTTGTTGTTGTTGTTACTACTATTACCATTATTTTAATTTTTAAATAATGTGTAGTGTGATGTGATGTGGTGCTTGGGCACTGTGCTGGAGTAGCTTTCAAGTTTCACTGTATTTTGAATGCAATAAAGGTTATTCTATTCTATTCTATTCTATTCTATTCTATTCTATTCTATTCTATTCTATTCTATTCAAACAAACTCAACTAACCTTGCCCCAATAAATAAGTACAAATGCTATCAAGAGTCCATTCAGAAGGAAACTGGTCGAAAGTTTCCAAAAGATTGAAATGCGTGCTTTTCTTTCGCTTGTTATTTCTAAAGATTTTGGAGGGAAAACTAGGATGGAGTAAAAAAAAAAAAAAAAAGCATTAAGTGTGCGAGTGAGATGGTGGCTGGCAACAGTCCTGCAAATTAAGTCCCACTCTGTATTTGTGCCTGTTTTTCCTGCCTAAGTGTAAAATCTTGCTTTTCTCCGCATTAAATATGATGTTATTGGATAGGGTCCATTATTCAAGTCTTGTCATGACCTTTTTGGATCCTGAGCTTGTCTTCTGGGAAGTTGGCATCTGCAAATTTGAAGAGTTCCCCTTCTATTCCCTCATCTAAATCATTTGTGAAAATATTGAAGAGTACTGTCTGCCTAACACAGTTTATTGTTTCTGTGAAGCTTCACACTGTTTTGAAAAATAATTGTAAGACATACTGATTAAGATTAGAATAATAGTATACGATTACTTTAATTTTATAGATTGACAAATAATTTTATTGCATTTATAGATTTGTACCTTACTGGAGAAACTCATTCATTCTCTACTAGTTGTGTCTAACTCTTGGCGACTTTATAGACAAATGCTCTCCATGCTATCCTGTCAAGCACAGCTTCTTTCAGTTATTGGGTGTTCATCTTATATCAGCTTTGATGGGATGAAGCCAGAGTGTTCTTTGCTTGCCTCTTCTTCTTACTCCACTAACCATTCCTAGCATCAACTTCTCCACTGAATTTGCACATATGACCATGGTCAAAGTAAGCAGTCTTGTGATTTTGGCTTCTAGTAATATTGCTGGATTTATATGATTCGTCATCTGTGTTGGTTGTTCTGGCTACTTATGGTGTATGCAATAATTTACACCAGCACCAAGTTCAAAGGTGTCAATTCTTCTAAAATCAAGCTGTTCAGAGTCCAACTCTTACACCCATATATCATTATAGGGAAGACTATTGCTCTAACTAGCCTGCTTTTTGTATTTATACCAATCTCTCTGCTTTTCCAGTTTTTAGTCATGTTAACCATTGCAGTGCAGCCTAAGGATATCCTGCATTGATTTTAGGAATCCAACTGCCATCATGAACAATTTTTGATCCAAGGAAAATAAATTTTCAAACTAATTCAATTTTGTCCTTGTTGATTTTTAACATCTCATGTCCATCTGCAGCTTTTGTCATTATCTTTGTTTTCCTGAAAATTCAACCCTCCTTTTTACTGTCGTCCATGATTTTTCAGATCATTTCTTCAAGGTCTTCCTTATTTTCAGTCAATAATGTTGTATCATTTGTGTACCTCAAATTATTTATAGTTCTTCCTCCAATTCTCACTCCCAACTCAGGCAATTCCAGGTCAATCTCCACACGATTATTTCAGCATACAGATTGAACAAAAATGTTGATAAAATACATCCCTGTCTAACTCCCTTTTTGATCCTGAACCAATCTGTGTCACGACAGAATGTTACAGTGTTCACACTTGAATCTTGGTCTTTCTGGCCAAAACCCCCAGTAAAGAGTAGACAAGACTGCAAGGTTGGTAGGAGTTAAAATATGCATCATCATATTTTTCCCACTGATTTGCATCAAATCAATATTTTTCTTGTCTTCTCCAATCAACACTGTTTATGGGCTTGGTTTATCAATGTGGCTTTCAAGTGGATATTTTGAAAGGTTTGTTTCACATCTCCTGGGATTTGGTCAGCTAGCAATCTTTTCCCCTTCCCGGTTAAAGAACAAAATATGGAATTCTAAGAGCTGATTTTGCCTTTTCTCTCATAAATTGCTTTTCTGGAATGCTTTAATTAGTTCCTTTAATCTTTCTGCAACAATTCTAAAACCATCTCATATTTTAAAGCATTTTTAGCTACAATATGCAAATGAACTCACACTGATACAGCACAACAGAAATCTATTTTATTTCTCTGTAGCTAAAAACCAAAAAAGTGTTCTAAAAATAAAAAGTAAAAAACAAAACCTACATAGTAGGAATGTGAATTCTGTTATCAATTATACAAATGACCTGAAGAATGCATGCTTTGCCATCATGAGTTGATTATTTGGAAGTCTGCATATAATGTTTAATTTCCTATTTTTCTTAACATTAATTAAATATATAACTGATATAACTTACTTTGGAAACACATGTAAACTGATTTTTACTAGTTTATGCAAATTTTAATTTTGTTGTCGCTCTCTTTTCACATATACAATATTAAAATATTCTGAAAAAGAAAAGATGTTACTTTCAAGTTTGACATAAGACATTCACAGGATTCAATTCTGAACGATCATGGTTATTGAGGGACATCCTTAAAACATGGTACGTGTGATATAATGGTTAGCAATGTTGAAGAAAAAGTGACTCTGGCTAGTTCTCTTTCTGCTTATAGCAATAGCACTTAGACTTATATACCGTTTCACAGTGCTTTACAGCCCTCTCTAAGCGGTTTGCAGAGTCAGCATATTGCCCCCAACAATTTGGTCCTCATTTTAATGACTTTGGAAGGATGAGTCAACCTTGAGCCAGTGAGAATCGAACTGCTGGCAGCTGGCAGTCAGTAGAAGTAGCCTGCATTCTAACCACTGCGCCGCCACAGCTCATATAGTTATTGTGACAATAACAAAGTAGAGAAAGCAATCAGAGTATTACTCCTAAAATTCTTTACAACTCCTTTACCTCCACTTGCCATAGGAGATATCTGTACTTTCTTCTGTGTATCAAAGTAACATGTTCATCTGCATCTGTGCATTTTGTCCTTAAAAGACCGATCAAATTGTACACGAAGCTGAGTTAACAAATGTCTTTTATCAGCCAGTTTAGTGCTCTGGCAGTTTTCTGTTACATATGTTATCCAACTTTTTCATAATAGCAGTTTTTTAAAGAATGCAGATCCTTAGAAAGCAAAGAATGTTCTGTCACTTCTTCTATTTTGAGCATATACTGTATGGTGTGAAAAAGTTGTTCTGATTCAAATATGCATCATCTATCAAATGGCTGCTGAAGATTCACATGTACCCAGAAATTTAGACAGTACCTCGATTATTATAACCATACAAATACACAACTCATAGCAGAAATCCTCCATTATATATCCTATTCCAGATTTTCATCTACTTAATTCATTCATGAAGGCTGGAATAGACTTCCATGGCATTGCACTGAATGAAACTTATGCCGCTGTTGTTCAGGGATGGTTGCATCCCTGAACAACTTTTTACACGCCAGCTAATTTTAACTTTTCCCACTTGGATGTGCCTTGCCTTCTCCCATCTCCCAGTAGGAAATCAGAATCAATCAGCATGCAGGGCACTCAATTCCGCAAACACACAGTTGGGATTCAGGAAGTGTTTCCAGCCCTCTAAAACCTCCACTTATCCATCAACCCCTTTGCAGAGTACATAGGTATGCAGTAACAGCTACAGGCGAGTGGGGGCATCTTGATAAATATAAAGACATACTTTGGACATTTAGTCAGACCAAGGATCATGTAATTTTAATTGCAAATAAAATATTAGATCTCTTCATTGGAATACATATTTGCAGTAACATAAATGTTCTCCACCATCACTACCAAGAAAAAAAGGTGATAATTTTAGATTTTTCTACATCTTAAAAGCAACAATAGTCAATGTGTTTGTACCACTTTAACATACAAGACAAACTCTAGCAATGCATGCTCTAATCAGATTAGCAATATTATTTTTGTTTAAAGAAAGTTCAAGTTACAAACCATTTATAGTTTCATTTTTCACTATGCTTGGAAAAAGGTAATATTTAATAAGCCAATTTTCTCTCTGCCACTGGTAATCCCCTGCAGTTTATGAAAGACTATATTATTAAAATCTCTATGACTAATTAATGGGAGGGAAAGTGCCTACAATTAAACTATACGACAATATCAATAGTATGAAAAGTAAACAGAACATGCAGCTGAAGCAGTGTACCACTTCAATAAACAAAGAAACTTCAGTTCATGGAAGCAACTGTAATCCTTCAGTGGTTTACCCTTGAATAAAGAAGGGTGGGGTGGGGTGATTTCACAGTTTTCGTTCATCATCCCGTACCTTTACATCTCTCATCCTCCCTGGAGGATCAGGAGGAACAAGAAACTGGCAAAACTTCTTCCACCTCCTCAAGTGCAGCTCTGAGTCCTATAAATCCTATAAATATGAATCCTATAAATTTATGCTGAACACAATTTTATGTTCAAACACCGAGATAAGTAACATGATACCAAAACCTAATAGAATTCCTGCATTTTGTAACAGGAAATATCCCCAGCGGCTGCATCCATGATCGCTAGCATCATTGTGAAGCATTTCAGGTACCTGTATTAAAAGAAACATACACACTTTTAAGTCATGCATATTATAATAAATGTTTCTACATGTGCAGTGGCTAATGCTGGTGACATTGATTATACATACAAAATCTGCTAGAAAATATTGAAGTGTATTCCCATCTGTAAAATATGCTCCTATTCTTATTTCCAGGCAGCTATGGTCAATATATCTAGATTTCTTTTTTAATGTCCTGTAATCCAGGGGTCCCCAACCACCGGGCCGCGGACCGGTACCGGGCCGTGGAGCACTCTTTACCGGGCCGCAAAGAAAAAAAAATTAAAAAAAATGGCGGCTTTCTTCGCCTTCGGTGAATGCTGCTGGGATCGGGGATCAAGGACACAAATGAAAGAAGGGGAGGGAGGAAGCAACCGAAGCCTGTCCTGCTCTCTGGCTCAGCTCTCTCAGTCGCTTTCTCGCTCCTCCACCAGCCCAGGAAGAAACTGCTTCAAAGAAGCCGGGGGGAGGGGGGGGCTTTTCCTGTCGCCGCAGCTTCCCCGAAGCGCCCGTTTCACCCCCACCCCACCCGCCCGCCCGCTCGCGGTTCAATCCACAGTGCTCCGTTCTGCCTGCCTGCCTGTCTGGTTGTTTGGGAGCAGCTTCGGCTGAGAATAATAACTATTTGCCTCTTTTTATCAGCCGAAGCTGCTCCGAAACGAAGAAGGCAGGCAGGCAGGCAGGTAGAACGGAGCACTGTGGATTGAACCGCGAGCGGGCGGGCGGGCGGGGTGGGGGTGAAACGGGCGCTTCGGGGAAGCTGTGGCGACAGGAAAAGCCACCCCACCCCCCCACCCCCGGCTTCTTTGAAGCAGTTTCTTCCTGGGCTGCTGTAGGAGCGAGAGAGCGACTGAGAGAGGAACGAGGCAGACACCTGAGGGAGGGAGGGAGGGAGACACCTGAGGGATGGGGCTGAGGGAGGCAGGACCAAGGCGCTCCCTGAACTTGGTGGTTTGCTGGCAGACGTTTTATTACCCGACTAGGTAACAACATCAGATGTTACCTAGTCAGGTAATGAAACGTCTGCAAGCAAACTACCAAAGTCGGATTCTCTCTCCCCCCCCCCCCCCCCCCCGGTCCTTGAAAAAATGTTTCTGCTTGAAACCGGTCCCTGGTACAAAAAAGGTTGGGGACCACTGCTGTAATCCCTTGCATTGGGGTGAAGTCAGGGTAACTGAGTGGAACTCAAGTGTTTACTAGTCAGGTACCCTTCCTGAGGCCTATGCTAAGTTTACAGCAGACAATTACTCATTGCGCCCAAGAAGAGAAATACAGTATCTGCAGCTACCTAGGATCGAACTCACAGCCTCCTGATTGTGAGGTGAGAGCTCCACCTCTAGGCCACCCCGCCACGCATATCTAGAAAATTAAGGAACCAAATTCACTTTCTTTATATTTCTATTACTATTTTTCAGTAAATGACTTAATTTTCCACACTTCCTGGATCCATTGATCGTTATCTCACTTAAAAGACTACTGTGGCTGGTTGCCTGTGATCAAGTATGGGTTGAAAGTATTGTGCTTCAACCAATCTTGAAATTCTTCTTAGTATACTATTTCCCACCCACTCCCACAATGCATTAGTTAGAATCCTACCTAGGAATGTGTGTGTCTAGGTTTCATTCTTAAAATGAATCCAGGATGGCACTCAGAAAATCATAACAATTGGATGAATGAATCTATCTGGCTGTAATAGCCAGAATGGCCATGTTATTTGGGTAAAGGTTTACTAAGCTAACATTATTTCCCCACCCTACCGCAACTCCTCTAATCATTACTTCTATAGAGTATAAGCATATTTTGAAGTCAATGCCAGGCTAGTATTCCCGTAATAATATCTCACTGGCATTCCTAAGTATTGGAATGCTATTAATATCTATTAATAAGCATATACTTACCATATCAACAAGAGCGACATACATGAACAGCCCAGCAGTAAGGGCAAAAATCCACATGGAAACATTGTCAGCATAATGGCCAATAAGTATCCCAGTAGCCATTCCAAGATATGCCAGCATAGCTGAGAGAGCGTTATAAAGAACAGCTTGTTTGACAGTCATACCAGCTTTGAGTAGTACAGCAAAGTCTCCTTCAAAAGAGAAATATGTTTACATCAATCATTTGTATTAAAATGTCAGCATTCCACCCCACATGGAAGACATGCCAAAACATTATGAGCTTTTAAAAAATCCTTTAAAAAAAATCACTTGCTTTCATATAATCAGGTACTTCAAAACTTTAGGAGAATGGAGACAAGCAGGAGCATAATTGCTTTTGTCATGTTTTATCCTTTTTATGTGTTTGCCGATACACAAATATATACAAACTAGGACTGTATACACATAGGACACAGGATTTCATGATTGTCTCTCGCAGCTAGAGTACAACACCAAAAAAAAAAAGGACAGATTATAAGTATCTTTAAGGAGCAGCTCATAAATGTAGTATAATCACAGATTTCACAAATCTGAGTTTTTCCATTATTCTAACACACACTTCTACAATTTATATTAATGTGGAATAAAACACTTTGAAATAATTTGCCATTACAAGTGGTCCTCCAGATCACAGTGAAGCCCAGAATTTCAATTGTAAGTCATTGCAGTCGTAAATCAAGGCACCGTATGATTGGACTTGATTTTATAACTGATTTTTATGGCTGTTGTAAAATGAGTCACTATGGTCGTTAACCAAACCACAAACTTGTTAAGGGAATCCAGCATATCTAGTGGGTATTTTTTGCCATTTTCTATTGGAAAAGAGCAAAAAGACACAGCAAATTAAGATCCCATGACCATGGGATGCTGCAACTTGATCATAAATGCAAACAGGTTGCCAACCACCCAAAATGTGATCATGTGACTGTGGAATGTGTGGGCGTATGCGCACACGTGTGCACGCAGCAGGCATACCTTTCAGGACAGATTATAAGTATCTTTACTGAAGTCCATTTTAACTTTAAATGTTTAATAAGCAACCAGCTATAAATCAAGGACTACTATAAAACCCTTTAAATTAGAAGCATGCAATTGAATTGGGTCAAATCTTCACCAAGTGAACCAAAATAGATTAGATTTGGTGAGTTTGGAATATGCTTCTGAATATTATGAACTCTACTACTACTGATAGCTGCAGTAAATAGGCAATAAAATTAAATTAGCTTGTTGATTAATGAAATATTTGTTTGTCTTTTATTAACTGTTAATTTGTTCTTTTATTCTATTGAAAAGTTTTATTGTGTTGTTTAAAACTGAATCACCAGACCATGTTTGAAACTGTGGGTGGTATTCAATAAATCCTAAATTCACATCTGCGCCAATAGACTCTAAGGTTGGCCATACATAGAGGTATGGCGCAGATCAGGGAAGATGTGAGGGGATTTGGGAGGGTGTGTAGGACACATTGTGTGCGGGGTGTGGCATAAGTCATGGAAGGTGCATGAGAGGTGTGCAGGGAAGGAAGGAGACATAAGAGGTATTGCATGGATCAAGGAGCATGCACCGGGTTGTGTTAGTGGCCAGTGTGTGCGAGCACAGAGGGGCTGGAAAAGGGTGCACATATGGGGGGGGGGGCATTCTCTGGAAACTTCTAATCTTCCCTGCTAGCTTCTGCATTGACTGGGGAAGTCAGCAAGGAAAGTTGCACTTGGCGATCACGATTGTGTGATGCATGACAATGCTGAAAGTGCAAATGGGCTGCCCAGCACTCAGATCACAATCATGTGAATGAGGGTGTCCTGGAACAGCTGGAACTCTGAGATTTATTCAGAGAATTCTATGGTATCTCTGGACAACTGAAAAATCCTATGGTATCTCTGGACAACTGAATAACTGGATAGAAGCATTCCTGTCAAACAGACAACAAATGGTCAAAATCGGGAGCGTCCTATCAAATCCAGTACCTGTCAATAGTGGTGTCCCCCAGGGCAGTGTTCTAGGACCAACTCTCTTCATACTCTACATAAATGACCTCTGTGATCATATTAAGAGCAATTGCGTTCTCTTCGCTGATGATGTAAAGCTGTTCAATACCACAGACAATACTGCTACCCTACAAAAAGATCTTGACTATGTATCTGAATGGTCAAACAAATGGCAACTTCAAATCTCAACAAATAAATGCTCTGTCCTACATATTGGCAAAAAAAATCAGAAAATAAAATACAAGCTGAATAGCCAAGATCTTGTTGATGACCCAAGCTCTGTAAAGGACCTTGGAATACTCACCTCTAATGATCTAAGTGCTAGAGCCCACTGCAACTACATAGCCAAAAAGGCATTAAGAGTTGTTAACCTAATCCTACGTAGCTTTTTCTCTGGTAATATCACACTACTAACCAGAGCATACAAAACATTTGCTAGACCAATACTCGAATACAGTTCATCAGTCTGGAACCCTCATTACGTATCTGATATTAACACAATTGAGAAAGTCCAGAAATATTTCACAAGAAGAGTTCTCCACTCTTCTACTCATTGTAGAATACCTTATGCCACCAGACTTGAAATTCTAGAACTAGAAAACCTTGAATTACGCCGTCTTCGGTCTGACTTAAGCATGGTATATAAAATCATACATTGCAATGTCCTACCTGTCAATGAATACTTCAGCTTCAACCATAACAACACAAGAGCACACAATAGATACAAACTCAAAGTAAACCACACCAAACTTGATTGCAGGAAATACGACTTCAGCAATAGAGTGGTCAATGTCTGGAATACTCTACCCGACTCTGTAGTCTCTTCCCCAAACCCCAAAAACTTTAACCTTAGACTGTCTACTATTGACCTCACCCCTTTCCTAAGAGGTCTGTAGGGGGCGTGCATAAGCGCACCAACGTGCCTACCGTCCCTGTCCTATTGTTTTCTCTTATTCTTTTATTTTTCTTATATGTACCCATTTCATGTATTCACAACTATGTATACACTTATACTTACTATCTTGTAAACAATTGGCAAATCAAATAAATAAATAAATAAATAAATAAAATAAATTATTATTCTTATTCAGCATCATTGGTCACTGACTCAATGGTCGTAGATTAAGGACTACCTGCATATCCAGAAGGGATACTGAGTTGGAAGTTGACAGCTTAATAAAAACAACTCAATATCCAAAAAGCAAAAAAAGTTCATTTCTCAACAAGATCATTAGAAAATGGAAATCAATCTAATTTCCAGTAATGGCTTGATACAAATTTAGGAATTTGGAATACATTTAGAATACCGTGCATAGTTTTTTCATGCTCTAAGATGTCCCCCCAAAAAGTGATACTAAAGCACAGAAAAGCCTTCCAGAATAATCAGAGAATTAAAATAATTCTCCCATCAGCAAAGTAACAAGTGTTGCGATTAGTTTAGAAAAAGGGGGAAATTTGGAATGTGGAAAATGTGGAGGAAGAGAATGTATTTCTCAATCTTTCACAAAACCAGAACCCATAGCATGTAATTAAACGTAACGTAACGATGGCCATAAACCTAGCTTTAGAAGGTGTACAAAAAAGAAACACAGAAAAATCTATGAAGAACAAGCTTATCAATGACTACTATAGGTACAAGGGCTTTTATAATATATTTAAAAACAGAAGAATAACAATTGCAAAGGAACAAAAGCAGATTGTTGTTCTGATATACTTTGTGACTCCATTGTGTATGCTTGATAGGTTGCTGTGAGAAACAATTGTTTTCTCTGATCCAAGAAGACAATTACATTGTGATAAACCTTAACAAAATGGTAGATTACTATTCAACATTTAAACAAAAATAAATACTAATGAGTCAGCAATGGGAATTTGGGACTTTATTAATATTACTTTGCAGTCGATATACCAATTAAAGCCATGGCTAGCTGAGGAATTCTGGGAGTTGAAGTCCACAAGTCTTAAAGTTGCCAAGTTTGGGGACCCCTGAATTAAAGCATGGAAATTATATTTTACTACTTTCAAATATGTATGTCTTACCCAATTCGTGTGGCAACTCATGACAAAAGACTGCAACAGATGTACTTAAGCCACTGGATAAACCTTCAGTGAAAGCAGCCCCTAGGAAAAATGAATGAACATTATTTTTTTTTAAAAGCAATCACACTGGAAAATGCAGGCAAACCCAAAAACAAATTTAAATTAAGAAATATGTTTTTTTAATTAGTATTGTGTATTGTATAGATGCTGTATTGCAAGAACCATGGACTAAAATCATACAAGGGAGAACAAGAAATGACTAGTTGTAAGAAATACGCTCCCTATAAAGAAACGTTAAAAAATATTTTCTGGACAAAAGCTATATACTTTCGGCTAGCCCTTAAGGCCGTTCTTATTTCTATTTTAGTTCTAGTGAAGAGAATCAATTTCCTATCTGTGTACTTGTTTAGAATTTCAATTTAAATGGAGAGCAGTGTACAGCTACATGAAAGTCACAAAACTACAGCTTTTAATAAGATGCAGTAGGATAAAGAGCTAACGCAATAACAACACGACTACAGTTCATCTTCACTTAACAACAGTAATTAGGACCAGAATTTCTGTTGCTAAGTGATACAATCATAAAACACAGCATCGCATGACCATACTATTTACCAACAGCCATTCTAGCATCTTCAGTTTCTGACATTAAGTGAATAACAGTAGCTTAATTGAGGATGTCACCTGGATGCCGTTCGTGGCTCCCTGCTGGCTTTCCCACTGACTTTGTGTGTAGAAATCCATCAGAGGTCACAAATCGAGATCATGTGATCATGGAGATGATGCTATGACTGATGTAAGTACGAAGACTATCATAACTACCATTCATTCAACACCATTGTAAGCTTGAGTGGTCTTCGAATGAGTGGTTGTTAAGTGAGGACCACCTACAATTTTTATGTACTTTAAAACTAAGGCATCTTGATTCTTGGCTATGAGGAAAAAAATAACCCATTATTAGCAGAGCCTATAGACAGGAAGACAGACAAATAAGATTCACGTTTATCTAAATGCTAGTTATGTTTAAAAAATGACACGTGTATTTTAATGAATTTGGAATTTATGAGATATTGATAAATTAGCTGGGAAAATACTGAGAGTCCTGGTAAACTTAATAATAAAATCTTTTTTTATTATTCCTCTTCTGCATTTACAAAAAAAGTTGCTGCAATGTTGCTCCCATTTACCTATATGAATTAGCAGCCACAAGGAAAGCCAACACATATGCACTCACCAATCGCCAGACCATCACTGAAGTTATGCAGGCCATCTCCCATTATTACCATCCAAGCTAAGGTAGCTATACCAGCATCTTTCAATTCCTCGCTTGAATACCGCTGGCTGTGGCTATGTGGGTGATGATTTTGATGGTGATGGTGATGCAAGATATGATGGTAGTCATGGTGATGATGACTGAGATGATCTGATTGACCTAGAGTGTCATGCAAGTGTGAATGGCATTTGTTTCTACATCCTCTGGATGCATATTCATGATCAGCTGTCTCTTGGTGGGTGGGTGCGATCATGACCTCTTCTTCTTCTTCTTGTACCATGGGTTTCTGAGATAGGAAATTTGGTGGTTCTTGAGAAAGTGACCCCAAATAATTTTCAGGCCCTTGGAGGGAGAAAAGAAAAGAAAAAAGAAAAAAACTCAAATAATTATCCAATCGAAGAAAAAAGAAATAATTAGAATGTTTGGTATATAGCTAAAAGACTTTAGTTGTTTTATTTTCACATGTTTTTTATTGGAACTATACCATGCAAGGAGGTAAAGAATGTTCTAATCTGCTTTATGTTTTAGGACAAACTCATAAAAGGCAGGCACACTTTAACCATACATTATGTTACATGTTTAGAATCATATCTTTAAAATCTGGCCTGTGCATAAATGCACCTAAAGTTCAGGTTCCAACATGTGCCCATAATAATCAAGATAAATACCCATCAGGTTTCCTGTCTCACCTCATTTTTTTCAAAAATAGATTGCACTCATAAAAGTGACATTAATGAGAAAATAAAAATAACGATTATAAGCTTTGTTTTTCATTTGCAGGTGTGTCCACATGCCTACGGTTACAAAAAGTGGAGATAATTGGGAGCATCCTGGAATATTCTCATGAACTGATTTTGTCAGGGCCACCATGGCAACTTTTTTTAAAAAATGATTTTATTATAATGGTAACTATTTAGCAACAAAATTCCTGATGTGTCCACCAGCACAAATGATTTTAAGCCATTATCTTGCAGCATGTAAAAATCACTTAGAGAAGAAGCAGTGCAATCCTTTTCAAAACTTACTCATAAAGGCCAAATCAACTTCAGACGGATCAACATAGCACAGGGATGGCTCATTATATACATTTTTTGATTTAGCTAACAATGTATAGTATTTTTTATAATAACTAGCAGAATCTAGAGACGCGAGGACAGCAAATATCAATCATCTCTCTGCAAAATTTCTGGGTAACAAAAGAAGGGCTGGCATATTGTACCCAAGAGCCAGTTGGTATAGTGGTTAAGGCACAAGGTTAGAAGCTGGGAGATCATAAATTTTAGTCTGACTCCAGGGCACACACACAATAAAAGGCTGGGTGTGGGGGGAAATACACACAAAAAAATGACAATGAAGAGAACCTCTTATGGAGCAAAAAAAAAAAAACTGAAATAAAAAGGAGGTTGCAATAAAGAGAAACTAAGATCATGTTTGCCAAAAAAAAGCTCTAGTAGCCTCTAGTGGAAAAATGCAGGAAACAGCCAATAAAGTCTAGATCATTATAGTAATAATACATGATGATGAAAAATTATGAAATTAGGGATATTCCAAACAATTCCTGCATCACTTATACACCCTATTACAATTATTAGACGTTTTGTAAGATTTTTCTTTATAACTGTAGCAGCTATCTTTCAAAACCTGAGGCTGAGAAGGGAGCTTCTAGATTGTCAAGAACTGAGATGCATATTGGCTGCCCTACTTCAAGTTTATCTTCCCTATGTTAATATTTGGAACACAAAAGAGGCTGAAAAAAATGAAAATGTGGATAAATGCTAAGTCAGCACTCTTTTATGACAACAACAAAACGTTTCTTAACAGAGTGTATCTCATTCATTACTCTCTGTAATGAAATGTTTTATTAAAGGGAGAGGACAATTTTCATTCACTTTTTAATATATTTATCAGAGATGGGGAGACAACAGAGAGCTCTGTTAGAAGAGAAAAGGCTATTTCTCCTTTTTATATCCAATACTGTATTAGAAAGTGAAATCTATAATGCATTTAAAATTGAAAATAATATATTTTTGTTCATTCTTGGTTTACTTGAACTCTCTAGTGCTCTTAGTACCCAAAGAAAAATTGTAGGCTTTTTCAAATTGCAGATAAACACATGCAAAATAGAAAAAAAAACATGGTTTGTATACAGGGATTTATATTATGTTACTTAAAAACTGAAAGCTTCCACACTAGTATACTAGATCTCAGATCCTCTTATGTTGCCATAAATACATTTCACAAAGATTCTGATACTTATACAAAGTTTATTGAAACTTACTATCTTCTGCATCTATTTTGTCATCATTTGCTGAAAGTTGAGAATCATATTTAGACAGCTGTTTCTTGATTTCTGATTCATCATCATCATTTTTTTTCTAGCTCCAAAAAAAAATACACTGAAGTTAACATTTTGGCTATACCTCCTGAATGACACATATATCAACAGAATATAGAAAAATATAGACAGTGGAATAGAAAATATAGACAGTGGAATAGAAAAATGTTGAAATACATGTGAAATTTCTATTAGTAGCAGACTGGTTAGAAAAAACCCTATAGATTTTTGCTTTTGTAATATTTCATTCAGTTTTAAAATCATACATCAGCTAGGACTTAAAATTCAGTCTTCAGTTTATACTTGAGGATACATCAGGTTTTTTTTTCTTTGAAAAACTTCCTCTGTAATGGTGAAATCTAGGTCACTGAGACTATTATAGAAAAGCAATATCCAATGAGAGCATTATTCTATCAATTGGTTAAAAGTATTACTTTCAAGCAATTTCATAAAAGAACATTTAAGCAAAACAAAATTGTGATGAAAACCAGTAGTTTCTTACCTTTTTTTTCTTATCCTTAAACTGTTTAATTAATGTGATCAAGTGCTCAACAAGAAACATAAAATATAATCCTCCAAGAGCTGTGAGGCCTTTCCATGTAGAATCCAAATAAGCATTTTCTTCTGAACTTTGGAAAACTAGATGCTTTAAAGGGAGATCGTTACTGTGTGCCATCAAAGGTTTTTCATGATGATGATGGTGCTTTCCATGAGACTGAATGTGGAAGTTTAAAAAGAAAAATAGTTTAGACAATACTCCATATAAAAAAGATGACATAGGATGAGTAGAAAAATAGGGATATTTGTCAACCCAAGTACAGTATATAGCAGGAGTCCCCAAACCCCAGTCTATGGACTGGCACCGGGTTGTGGCATGCCACAAACTGGGCACACAAACAAGTGAAGCTCCATCCATGGGATGCAGGCAGCATGTGAAACCACGCCTCCTCTGGTCTGCACAAAAACCTCTCTCCACAGAACCGGTCCCTGGTGCTCAAAAGGTTGGGGGTCCTTGATATATAGATAACAAGATAGAAAAGGTGAAACTTGCATTTTATTGCAATCAGTGACCACCCACAAGTAAAACTGACAGACTAAGGCCTGGGATATCTCTAAAACAATAAACTCCATAATTTCAGACTATACATAAGAATATGGAAGTCATATTCCAGAGATTATAGAGTCGAAAGTCCTTGTAGTCTTTGCAAAATCTCCAAGAAAAATGTGGCATTTGTGTGTGTTTGGTGGAGGTGGGAGGAATTGTTGTATTAATTTGACCTACAGGATATTGGTCACTGTCATTTAAAAAAAAAAGAGTGATACCTCAGCTGTGGAATAAAAATTAGTGAAACATTGACTATTCCAGGGATAAGACTCAAAATATATTCAGATGACTGTCAAACTACACATTTAGTATAATAGTTACATTTAGAAACTCAAAAGCTTCTTTATGCCAGCTACAAAGTATTTCAAAATTATACCAAATATTTACTTATTTTTAGCCAAAATGTCACACAGGTTCATATAATCCCTAGATTTATTTGCTTTGAATACAGTAGACAGCTATGATGCTAAAACCTTTCAGTCCCCTCAAACTGAATGACAGAGAATAGCTCTTGTATTATTTGGCAAATCTAACCTGACCACAAACCATAATTGACAACATCAATTGTAAGTTTTTCCAGTATGTAATCAAGCACAGCTTGAACCAATTGATGGAACAAGCTTATACAAGGAATATCTATGGAGAAAAATATGTGAACTACGGTACATGCTAATGAGCCTGGATACCAAATGTAAAGGAAAAAATATGAAAAATCTCAAAAGTTTAGATTTTATAAATGTTCATATTCAATTATCTATTGAATGTCTGTCTTTCTTTGATTTCTGTGCCAAAAATGTTTAGCCATTTAAATCCTGTGTTACTAAATCAGATTGCTACAGAACGGCCTTGTCACGTGTACAAATTGCAATGCTATAAACATCCCATTATGCTCTTCTCCAAAAATAATATTTTTCTTCAACCAAAGCAGGAAGGGGTGATTTTTCTCCCACTATAAGTGATGAGAGCTACAAGAACAAAGGAAGGGGGGGGGGGATTTCTCCCTTGCATACATACACAAAGTTTCACAAAGCAAACTTTTCCTGAGAAATGCAAACACTACAATTTACAATGAATTCTACCTGACAGGTTTTATATTACCATGCATGCTTATAGGTTGAATAAATAGGGTTGAATAAATAGAAACAGAGACCCAAAACAGTTCAAGAGACCAGGCACAATGGGATCTTCTGGGTTTTAATGGCATAAGATTGAATATACAAGGGGAGGAGAAGAAATTAAATTGAAGCAATTATGTATTTCTCTTACTCCACACCTATGGTCAAATCCATCAAAGGGCTGATAAAATAATGTGACTTTTTAAATGCAAATAATGATGATGCCCCAGCAGAATTTCCACTGGGAGTGAATAGTGGTTTTTCAGCAGGACTTGAGCTGGCTAAACTCCCCCTTCCTGCAGTTGCTTCATCCCATACCTAACAGCTGGCATAAAACTGTGTGACTGAGTATACTATATTCCCATCATCAGTAGTACATTTACTTTAGCTCTAACATTGTTAAGAAAAATGTATCTAATGCAGAGGATATTTAAAAGATAAGTACAACACAAGGTCATCAGATTAGATGCTTTTGTTTCATTATGAGTCCTTTTTCTACTTACAGGCTTCCATTGACCAAAGAGCCCTGCTATACTTCAAAGGAACATATGCACTATTAAAAGAAAAAACAATGTACTTACATGTGGAAGGAGATGCAAAAGAGCATCCCCGCTTAGAGTTCCAACTGCTAATGCCACCAGGAAACTTAAGAGGAACTTGAAAAATACACGATTCATAAGCGGCACCAGTATAACACCCAGTAATGAAAGAAAACTGATAACGGAAATGGATATAAAGCCACCAATCCAAGCTGAAAAGAAAAAAGCTTTTTTATCGAATGATTCAAATATACATTCTTTATTAAATAACAGCATTCTTCTGTTTTGGTGACTAGCTAAAAGAATTTTCTAACCTGAAAGATCAGTAGGATTTTTATGTTAGTTTGTTGCCATTTATAAAAAGACCTATTCCTTGAGATAAAAAATACAAATGTTTTGATTCAGATAATGCAGCCAAAATAAAGCCACTCCTGGAATAAGAATGTATTACACCATCAAAAACAAGAGAAAGTAGAAATATTAAATGGAAAATCTGCCATCAAACTCACCAACTTGCAGTGAATATGTTTTTGGAGCTGTTTCAGTCTTTTCACTTGTTGCATGAATTATACAGTTTCTACCATCAATCTGGTTAATTATAGCTGGACAAAGATAGCTAAATTCTGTGGCTGTCAAAGACGCTTGAGTACTTATTCCATGGAAAAGCATCATTTCTGATGTATTAAAGCACTATGGAAAAATGTGTTAGAAAAATACACACATTAAGAGAAATAATTTCAAAACATAGCAGCTTTTCTTCAACTGACAAATTTCATAAGTGATTTTTTTTAAAAAAAAGTTAAAAATGCATCAAACACGATTATATTGGATTACTTTATAGCATCATAGAACAAATGCATTTTTGTATGTCACAAATAATTTAACAATCTGTTTAATAATCAAGGATAATACAACTAACTTTGAAAACATGGCTTGTGCTATAGGAAAATAATGTGGTAACTAAAATGTCTTTTAAAAAATCTGCCAAACTAATTTTATAAATATTAAAATGAAATCCCTGAAGATTGCATTATTTTTGGCAACTGGGAGTCCCCGACAACTGTGTTGTCACTGGCAAATCTTTTCAATCCAAAAGCAGCCCTAGGTTACAGACAGACTTTATAAATTTATAAACAAGCTTCAGGTAAGTTTTTGCAAAATTGATGGATATAGAGCTTTTTCTTCCATTATGGACCAATATGTCAAAATTACTAATATAAACATACAATCTTCAAAATTTAGGTGATTTATAACTTTCAGAAGTTAAGGGTGGGACTGGCAAAGCTCTATAACAATTATCTTTTTTTTATTTAAGTAACTCATGTAACCAGAAAGCTCCCACTCTTTTAATGGTAGTGATAATGATGAATGTTCAAGCTATACAATTCATATTCAAGTTATACAATTTCCAAGAGAACCATATTCAAAGTTTCACACATGAATTATAAGCAAAGCAGACCACATAAAAACTGCATTTCTCTATGAGCTAATAAATCAGTTATGTAATTTAGGAATACACACACACACACACACACACTTTTGAACCTGTCAATATTTAAACATTTCAATACTCTCAGAAAGATCGCAAATTGCAGGCATGTAAGAATTAATACATTTAGTTTAAATGTGAGCATTACAAGGTTGTAGAAAGCTATTCATTAGGTTAGGATCAGATCAAATCTCAGTCAATGATAGCACAATCCCAAGTTTGCCAAACTGGATTGTTCAATTTAAAATGCTTCAGAAATTTATTACAAGGAAAATAAAACCAGTGTCAAAGAACCTGGTTTGTTATTTCAAAGAGCAAGATTAAAATACTGATGAACAAGAGGAACTTCAGCATGCAACTCTTTGCATGATTTATCATATGTGAAAGCATCTGAACCAACTCTTAGAAGGTATTTTAGTTGGAAGTGGAATAACACAGTATCGAACACCCACAAACTAAAGAGGTAACTAAATTATTAAGGTTTTAAAAGAATAGAATCTTATATATCAAATGTCTTTAAAAAAAAAAGCCTCTTTCCAAATATATTTTGTGTAATTTGCTAATTTTAGAACACAGGGAACCTCCTGTTTCAGACCTCCTCATAAAAACAAGTGTTTCCTTTGCTTTTCTATTTAAAACCTTACATCGCTGCTACTTCCTAGAACAGTGCTGGGATTGGGGTTGCCAAAGCCTATGCGTGCTGACAATTCTGCAGTTTCTGAGTGTTGTAGCAAAGGGTTGCCCTCTGTCGTTGTGGTGTAGGTAGCTGTTGTTAGAGCAATGGTTGTACTCTTGTTATCCATGGATTCTTGCTGGCTGTCCTCCATATTCTCTGTTCTAGGCACATCTTTTGTTGGGTTATTCCAAAAATCTTTGCTGGCATCACCCGATTCATCATGAGGACAATAGGTTTTGTCAGGGTTTGTCCTGAGTGTAGCATGATTATGATGATGGTGGTAATGATTGTGATCTATTCTTTTAACTTTCTCAATGCCTATGCTGTGGAGCAATTTTTTAAAGCCTTCAATATTCAATGTATTGTTCTCCCCATAACGAGAGAAGAGATCCTGAAGGTGATGTCTCTGTCTACATAAAGCCAAACTAATATTAATACCAGCTGCCTTTTCAGGAGTGAGTTTCTCTGTAGTTTGTGAAATTGTGGCTGGTTCCAAGCTAGGGTAGGAAGCATCACAAAACAAGATTGTGAAAAGTAAGTGAAGAAAACTTATAGAAAGTTTCTTTGCCATAGTAGGATCCTATGAAAAGAAAATGACATAAAATTAATTTTAAAAACTGGCCATGTATATTATTCAATTCATGCAATAGAAAATTTAAAAGAAACCGCTGCAAATTTAAAATGATAAATTGCACACATTTTAATAAATGAAATTCTGCTTTTTTATTTCAAGCACTACCAGGTAACTACTTTAACATAAATCCAAGATAATATAAAGAAAAAGAATATAGAAAAAAACAATCTACAATTTGTAGAGACAATAATACACATATGAAAATTTATCATATATAAAGAACATATCAAATTATAATGAACTCCAACCAAACTTGATAAAATTGTAGATCCTGCTTTTGAAGTCTTGCTACTTCAAATTACTACTGTAATTTTTTTTAAAGTGGTAATTGTAGAGAACTGTTAATACACTACTCAATTGTTATGTTACCTAATATTTTCCAATGTTGCACAATTATTGTTTTGGCTAATAAAATTTAAATAACCAGTTATATATATATATATAAAAATTTTTATATATATATAAAAATTTGTGTGCTCGTCCACTGAAATTCTTGCTGTAGTAAATCTGCCAGTTTCCATAACTGCTGTCAACTTTTCTGGTTGTTTTGGACCACCAAGATCCGAAACCCAAGCTTCCTTTAAACCCTATGGTACATATCATATTTCTCATTGCAGGAATAACCTATATATTTTCAGATCTTTTCTTTTGGTTGTTATAAATAATAATGTATTAAATTATCAAAATCGGCATAAGGCCATATTGCTGAAGCTCTAATATTTCTATTGCCCAAAAAAGATTTGAATTGATTCCAAAAAAGTCATGGTAGCTTATTGCCCTGATCTTACTGAGTATTACATAATTACAAGAAAACTTGTTAAAAAAAGTTGTATACTGTAGTATCCCTCCTTTGGAATTCATACTCTATTCCATTTCTCTCCCACCCTCAATTTTCTATTTCCCTATTTCTGAATTCTCAATGAACATTTTGGCATTCTGTGTCCACTAAACATGCATAAACATCACTACAAGTGAAACTCGAAAAATTAGAATATCGTGCAAAAGTTCATTTATTTCAGTAATGCAACTTAAAAGGTGAAACTAACATATGAGATAGACTCATTACATGCAAAGCAAGATAGTTCAAGCTGTGATGTGTCATAATTGAGATGATTATGGCTTACAGCTCATGAAAACCCCAAATCCACAATCTCAGAAAATTAGAATATTACATGCAATCAATAAAACAAGGATTGCACATAGAACAATATTGGACCTCTGAAAAGTATAAGCATGCAGATGTACTCAGTACTTGGTTTGGGCCCCTTTTGCAGCAATCACTGCCTCAATGCGGCGTGGCATGGAAGCTATCAGCCTGTGGCACTGCTGAGGTGTTATGGAAGACCAGGATGCTTCACTAGCAGCCTTCAGCTCTTCTGCATTGTTCGGTCTCATGTCTCTCATCTTTCTCTTGGCAATGCCCATTAGATTCTCTATGGGGTTCAGGTCAGGCGAGTTTGCTGGCCAATCAAGCACAGTAATCCCACAGTCATTGAACCAGGTTTTGGTGCTTTTGGCAGTGTGGGCAGGTGCCAAGTCCTGCTGGAAAATGAAGTCAGCATCCCCATAAAGTTCGTCTGCGGAAGGAAGCATGAAGTGCTCCAAAATCTCCTGGAAGATGGCTGCACTGACCCTGGACTTAATGAAGCACAGTGGACCAACACCAGCAGATGACATGGCTCCCCAAATCAACACAGACTGTGGAAACTTCACACTGGACTTCAAGGATGTGCCTCTCCATTCTTCCTCCAGACTCTGGCTCCTTGGTTTCCAAATGAGATGCAAAAGTTCCTCTCATCAGAAAAGAGGACCACTGAGCAACAGACCAGTTCTGTTTTTCTTTAGCCCAGTTAAGACGCTTCTGAAGTTGTTTGTTGTTCAGAAGCGGCTTGACAAGAGGAATACAATATTTGAAGCCCATGTCCAGGATCTGTCTGCGTGTGGTGGCTCTTGATGCACTGACTCAGTCCACTCCTTGTGAAAGTCCCCAACACTTTTGAATAGCCTTTTCCTGACAATTCTCTCCAGGCTGCGGTCATCCCTGCTGCTTGTGCACCATTTTCTTCCACACTTTTCCCTTCCACATAACTTTCTATTAATGTGCTTTGATACAGCACTTTGGGAACATCCAACTTCTTTTTCAATTACCTTTTGAAGCTTTCCCTCCTTATGGAGGGTGTCAATGAGGGTTTTCTGCACAACTGTCAGGTCAGCAGTCTTTCCCATGATTGTGATTCCTACTGAACCAGACTGAGAGACCATTTAAAGGCTCAGGAACCCTTTGTAGGTGTTACGGATTAATTAGCTGATTAGAGTGGGACACTTTGAGCGTAGAATATTGAACCTTTTCACAATATTCTAATTTTCTGAGATTGTGGATTTGGGGTTTTCATAAGTCCAAGAATAAGCATTTTATAGTTAATTACCACTGATCATAAAGTGGGATATAATTCTAAAATAAGCATTTTAATCTTTTAAACTGAATTTACAATAGATACAGAATAGTAAAACAGTGGTACTACAGTAGAAATATATAGGGTCTTTTGCAAGCATTTCCTGTTTGGTGACGTTGTAGAACTCAGATAAGAGTATATTTCATGCTGTGCCAGTAACCAGATGACCTATTTGCAGCTACATGAATATTATCTATGTATCTACTCTACACCTACAATCAATGAACCTTCATTAAAAAGATTGAGTAGCTTATCACTTATGGGATAATTTTTTCCTTCCTGATTTCCCATCTTATACTCTTGCATTGACAAATGTCCTAGGTGCACTTTCCACATCTAAAAATCAGGGGAAACCTAGATGGATATATCAACAAGGCATCATAGATCTTAGATTTCTATGTTTACCATTCAACTCATATTTTTACCATGGATTTGCAAGAAACTTTATAACAGTTTATTTATATCTTCCCTTTCTTTCAAAACCTCCAAGTTTAACATACATAGTTCTCCCCATCCCTCTCATTTTAGTTTGACCTCCATCCGCTGACTAAAAAGAACTGAACAAAGAAGAACTTGTAACCACTTTCCCAATAAATTCTGTGGCAAAGTGGAGACTAAATATGGGACAGACAGACAAGTACTGGCCAATCAACCAGACATCATGGTAGTAGACAAAAACCAGAGGACAGGGGTGGTGATAGATGTAGCTGTGCCAAGTGACAGCAACATCAGGAATGAGGAGTATGAGAAGCTGGAGAAGCATCAGGACCTGAAGGAGGAAGTGGAAAGAATGTGGAAAGTATGGTAGTCCTCGACTTACAACAGTTTGTTTAATGACCGTTCAAAGTTACAACGGCACTGAAAAAAGTGACTCATGACCCGTTTCCACAGTTACGACCATTGTAGCATCCCCGTGGTCATGTGATCAAAATTCAGATGCTTGGCAATTGACTCATATTTAGGACGGCTGCAGTGTCCTGGGATCCCATGATCCCTTTTTCCGACCTTCTGACAAGCAAAAGTCTGTGGGGAAGCCAGACTCACTTAACAAGAGTTTGACTCATTTAACAACGACAAGTGATTCACTTAACAACTGCAGCAAGAAAGGTCGTAAAAATGGGGCCAACTCACTTGAACAAATGAGCACCAGAAATGTGAGGCTCAGGGGCGATCCTAAGGTGAGGAGTCCCTGGTAAAGTGGTCCCAGTTGTGGTTGGAGCCTTCAGGGCTGCGACTCCTAAGCTTGGGAGAGTGGCTCCAACAGATCCCAGGAATGACACTCCGAGCTCTCTGCCCATAACAGTTGCAGCGCTGGGATATTTTGGCAAGTTGCAGCATGCCACGAGCGGAAAATCCTGCACCTGGCGAAACTCCTCTCCTACACGTCCCTCCTTCACAGCTATTAGAAAGGCAGCCTGCCCTCTCTCTATTGTGCAAGAATTGCCGCCCTGATTAAAACCAAAGCAGATCCTGTTTATTCAGACTGAGGGCCCCAAGGAAGGGCCAGAGATAGACTGCCATGAGAGACGGGCGCTTGATTCTACTAGTAATCAACTCAAGCCACTTTCTCCCCCGTTCAATTGGGAGAGGCTGATGAAAAAGAGAAGTTCAGCGATCGCTGCTGATCCTTTAGGACCCTCCAACCATCAAAAGAGCGACTTCCGTACAACTAGCGCCGCCGGGCTAAGGGCTCGCCCCGCCCCCACCCCGTCTCCCCAACCTAGACTACTTAAACCACGAAGCCGTGCTTCCTCACCGACTACTACGGTCCATTCCGCGCCCGGAACCGCCTTCACTCACTCGCCGCCCGGAGAAGGAGAGCGGCAAGCCGGCCTCTACGAACTAAAAGAGGGACGTCGTCGCTCCAAACAGCCAATCAGGACACGCTTTCTGATCAGCTGGGCGAATAAGAACCAATAAGCCTTTCGTAATTCCACCGCCTTTCGTCCTCGGAAAGGAGGGCCTTCGTCGAAAGGGGGAAAAGCGAAGACAAAAGAGTACTGTACGCAAGGCGGCCCACGTGGGGAGAAGGGCGGCCTCTTGCGCATGCGTGAGGTGGCAGGCGCTTTCACGTTTAGGCAACGAAGTGATGATCTCTTGGTGGAAATTTAGTATACGGAAATTGGTCGGTTTATGTTTGCGGTTCGCCAGACTCTTCTTTGCTCCAACCCTCGCTCTTAGATGTGGATAGAACGGGTTTTTCTATCCAGCGGGTAGCGTAACGTTTAACAACAATTAAGCTTTTCTTCCACGAAGCGGAGATCTGTACAGTTTTAGGGTTTGAACTAACCCTATAGCATGAAGTCAATTCTGATATTTATATTGGGATCTGTCTGAAAGCCTCACTATAAGCCATGACATCCATTTACCTAGAACAAGGGTCTTCAAACTTGGCAAGTTCAAGTCTTGTGGACTTCAACTCTCAGAATTCTTGAGCTAACATGACTGGAGGGGCAATTCTGGGAGTTGAAGTCCACAAGTCTTAAAGCAGTCAAGTTTGAAGACCCCACTGACCTAGAATCATCGTGGATCTAACTCTTTGGGGGCAACACCTTGATATTAAACAGGAATCCAGGGTATAAATCTTTGTGGACTTCCGACGTTAAACCTGAAACAGACAAATCACAACCAACCACGTAAAAGAGGGCGGAACAGTTGGGGATCTGACAATTGTTGATTTGTCCCAAATGTGAATCAAACCACGGGTTCTCATTTCTCAAAATCTGACTGTTTTTGACACTGTCATCCTCAATGCTGCACCAGATACTCAGCTGAGCAGAATTGAGTCAGATATGCACACATATTCACGCACTCGCTCAATTAAATCTCAGAGAAACTAAACTAGATCAGCTGTCCTCGAACAGCGTGCCAATCGGTGGGATTCAAATAATTTTACTACCTGTTCTGTGGGGCATGGCTTGGTGGGCATGGCAGGGGAAGGATACTGTAAAATCTCCAGTCAGAGGTGGTATTTGCCAGTTCTCTGAACTACTTAAACTTTCCGCTACCTGTTCTCCAGAACTGGTCAGAACCTGCTGAATGCCACCTCTGGTGCCAATGTGTGCTGTCTTACTCCAGGCTGAGCTGGCCACTGATCAAAAGCACTTGCCTTAAAGTCCAAGCTGGAGTTTTCTAAGAATAAAAAACTGAATTACTTTACTGTAATCATGGACCATAACATAGCAAAATGAAGCCCCTTCCCAATTACAATCATTGACTTACTATCCATCTGTGAGCAAACAAGGTCAAATAATTTTGTGAAATTTAAGGAAATTTAAGGAAATAAGATCTTCATTGACTAATACAATGCTAATAATACTTATCAGAAGGCCTGGAGATCAGCTGATGGCAACTATCTCTATAAAACTGGTAATAATGAGGAACATTGAATGTTGAAGAGCATCTGGAAGCTCTAGTTGGTGTAAAATACAGCGGCCCACATAGTTTGTTTTTTTTAAAAAAAAACACCAAGTTTTATTTTCAAGACAAACAATACATAGATACACATAAAACAAAACATAAAAGCATAAAAAATCTCTTATCTGAAAGTTGCTTAGTCCCGGGTTAAAACTCTTGGTACAGACACAAATTCAAATTCATATTCATTTTACATACCATTTCATATCTTATTAACATTTTCAATTTTCTATATGTCTTCTCCTCTCCTTTAAATTTTCTCAATTTTATTTTATTTTATTTATCTCCTCTCAATTCATATCATAATATTTATTATTCTTTGTCTGTTCTATTCCAGCCAGCCCTTTATTTTCCTTCTTTAAAAAAAAGAAAAAACTTCTCCTGCACACTATATGGAGTATGATGCCTTTATCTCTTTCCCCTACATTTATAATACTTAATATAAAACACATAACATATATTGGGATTCTGTCTGGTACATTCTAAAATTATACTATATTATCAAAAGTAATACAAATCTATTCATTAGTATTAATATTCATTCATATCTTAAACATTTAAATCATTACTTTTCAATTAAATCACATACTTTTATGGGAGTCCTATTTTCCATAGTTATATATTATATCCCTCATCATATATTATAACTCATTATTTCATTAAAAAGTACCTCCTTCTTCTACTTCAATTCTCATTTCACAAAAAATTTCGCTAGTATACCATATTCTAATCATTAATATTAACAATCATTTATATCTTAAACATTTTATCCATTTCAATTAAATATCATGCCTTTGTGGGAACACTTATGCTTTTCAAAGATTATTACCCCCCCCCCCCCACATCACAATCTTGAATTATGTTTCATTACAGTACTCCCTTTTCTTAACCAAAAATTTCACTAATTTATGTTAAATATTTTATCACATTTAAGGTTACATATTATTTCTAATTTTCTATGTTTACTTCTAAATACAAATATAAAAATGCAGTCTTATGTACCTTTCTAGAATCCCTTTAACCATAAAGCTTATCCATTATCTCTAAAAAAAAATTGCTTCCCACCATTAGGACTTCTCATCCCTTCCTTTCTTTCTTGTTTCTTCTTCTCCTTATCCTCTTTAACCCCTTGTCTCTCCACCTCCCTTTTATTCTGCTTTCCCCCTTTCTGTTGTTTCTTAACATAATATCCCCTTTTCACCTTATGCTTCTCTTTTTGGGCTATTTTTCCAGATCTTAAAGACCTTTTTCCCTTTTTCTCTTGCTTTTTCTCTTCTCCAGTTGAAGTAATTTGTTCATCAAAGATGGCTTCTCCTTCTTCTTTGTCCCCATCATCCTCATTCTGCTTCACATAAATATAAACCGCCATTTCCAAGTATTGAAAAATAGTGTCAAGACCATCTTCCCCTCCTTGTTTTTCTCTTTCAAATTTTTGATATATAAGTTCCAGTTCATCCATAGATGATGCCATTGTGTAGAGAAAAAGTTTTTCCAAACAGCCACCCAAATGATTTAATCAGAAGTAATTTCCAAAGGTTCCAAAGTCACCAAACAATCCAAACAGACTATTTCTTTTAGATACCTTCTTCTTCTTCACTTTCTCTTTCTGGGGTTAAAGTAATCACAAATCCTTTTCAAATATATTTTTTGGAAGTTTTTAAACTCTTTGTAATTCTAGGCAATCTTCTCCTTATTTTCAAATTTTTGCTCTAATTCTTTTTTTCACTCTCCCTTCCCACTCACAGCCAAAAAGGTGTTTTTTTTTCCGCTGTCACTTTAGGAAGGAGAGTAGAACAAAGAAAAAACTTTCCCCTTTAGAATATTCGCAGCTTAAAAACTCTCACAGGGAACAATATATACTTAGCAGCCTTCAAGATTCCATGTCACTTTCTCCCGTCTTGTCCCGGTTAGAAGCAACTTTCACTTTTCTTTCAGCTTCCTCCCTCCTGCACCTGCTTGTCCAGCTGCAGCTTTCTTCGTGGCAGCCATTGCTGACTGCCGTTCCTCTGCCTTGGGAAAAGGGGGTTTAGCTGGCTGGGGAGGGGGTTTGCGACACCCCCAAACCCCTTGCCGGATCCCCCCTGTCTTCAGCTGCCTCTGCGGGGCAGCTATATCCCCCAGATCCAAATGGATCGGGGGAACCTTGACGGTGAACGCAGCAGGGATCGCGCAGTCGCGAATCCCTGCCGCCGCCGAAAGGTTGCAAACCGGAAGTCCTGCGGCCCACATAGTTTTGTGCAGACCTCGGTGTGCACATGAATCACCCCTCCTGCGGGAGCTGCATTGGTTGCTGATTTGCTTCCTGGAGTAATTCAAGGTGCTGGTTGTCACCAATAAAGCCCTTCATGGCTTGGGACCAGGTTATCTGAGGGACAGTGTCTTGGCAGTCACATCTATCCCACCCACTAGAATGGGGAGGCAAGGAATGTTGCAGGTCCCCTCCCCTAGGGCAGCGGTGTCAAACTTGTGTCATCATGGCGGTGTCACGCTAAACCGGGTGGGGGGCAGGGCCAGCATATGATGCATCCAGCCCACAGGCTGCAAGTTTGACACTTCTGTCCTAGGGAGATACACCTGGTGGGACCCAGAGGAAAGGCCTCTTCTCCATGGTGGCTCCCTCTCTCTGGAATATCATTTCCCCAGAGATTAGAATGAACCCCACTCTAACACTCTTCTGAAAGGTGCTGAAGACCTGGTTCTGCCAGTGGGCCTGGGGAATCCAGTGCGAGATGGAGCCCATTAAATGGCTTGTGTGGTGTGTTGTCACGGGGGTGGGGGGCTATTATTTTATTAATTTATTATTTGGTTATTTTCTTTTATTCTATTTTTTTATACATGATATTTTTATATACCCGCAAGCTGCCTTGAGTCACCATGTGCGAATAAATTTTCTAAATAAATAAACACGAGCTGTAATTTTTCAGAAAGAAAAATACTATTTCTACTTGCATGCCCACTCATCTCTCTCTCCCTCTCTGCCCTCCCCCCCTCCCCCGTCTCTCTCACACATACACACAGGAATGCAGGAAGCCACGTATGAGTACAAATAGATCTCTTATGCCATCTTCTGATAAAATGAAAGGATAGAATCGTGGTGGAACATTTTGTTACTGATCATCCCTTTCTTTTTCCTTCCATTTTTCTCAGCATTATAGATTTCTCTGGAGAGCTAGGTCTTTGCATAATTATCCAAAATATTGATAATTTGGTTATTTGCTTTGAATGAGAGTATTGGATTTATTTGTTCTGTTATCTATTAGTTTTCCTCACTATTGATGCTATTTTCAGGAATGTTCACTAACACCAAATTTCAAAAACATAAACATTCTTTTTATTCTGTTTCCTCAAAGTTCAACTGTTACTTCCATAAAGTGTCATGAGGAAAACTGTTCATTGCGCAATTGTGATCTTTATATACACATGTTGTGATCAG